TCGCTGCTTGATCTAAATGTTGTCGTTTCGCTTCGAGTTTGGCGTCCGAATGCTTTCAAAATGCAAGTTATCAAAATTTAAAGCGTCAGTTTACAAGGTATCCGTTTACAACTGATGCACTACACCCACCATGCTCTGATGAATCAGTTTCGTTAAATTTGCGTAATTTCTCATTATTAAGTCGCTCGTATTTTTCTTTTTCACTAAAACTAGACATGATTGCAGAAACCCCAATGCGTGTGGTTAATTAGATAGGTTTAGAGTAGGGTCAAAGTATACAGAACAATTAAGGAGTTATGGTTGACCCGGATAAAACGTATCATCTCAAACCATTAAGCGGCCAAAATCGTCACACCGGTCAAATTTTTATTTCATGCGTATAAAAGAAGCGCACATATAACCACTTTTTAACAATTCCATTCCATCGATTTGCAATAGTTGCTTACCCTATTGTTTAAGAAGTGGGACACTTTGTGATTATTTAACGTCGTCTATATCAATTGTATTTTAAACTATATGCATTGTTCTAATATAGCTTAGATTTTCTCTTTTCAATGTAACTTGCATTTTTCAGCTTGTCTCTGCAGACCGTCATTCAAGTATTATTAATTACTAAATAAGCCGGTAGCTACACCACGTAAGTGTTAAATACTGCAAAGCCCTCATCAGTGTAATAGCCCAAATGATGAAGGCCCGGTTTAACGGACTCAAAGCTTTGCAGTATTTACGTGGTGTACCTATACAAGCTAATTTACTTATTTTGCAAACTCACAAGAATATCATTTTTAATTATACTATTACTATTCATCTGCGATATTATGTTCATAGTGTTGCATCAAAATTAAACACAAAGGAATTATCATGTTTCTCAAACTTGACAAAATTCTTCATCCGCGCCTTCAGCCGCTATTGCCGATTTGCCGCCCCCAGGTGTTAATACCAGCCGCGGCTGAAGTAATTGTCTTCAAACGTTAACACCTATACAGGCTAATTTACTTATTAATGTCACCGTGCAAACTCACAAAAATATCATTTTTAATTATACTATTACTATATTCATTTGCGATATTATGTCATCATAGTGTTGCATCAAAATTAAACACAAAGGAATTATCATGTTTCTCAAACTTGACAAAATTCTTCATCCGCGCCTTCAGCCGCTATTGCCGATTTGCCCCCCAGGTGTTAATACCAGCCGCGGCTGAAGTAAGTGTCTTCAAACGTTTCCGTTTTTGAATGTTTGCCCGACATATATTCGTTTTCATTGATGTTTTTTTAATAGCCCCCTCAAATTGATGCGTTTTTCTTACACTTAGCGTAATCGTTCATTTTCAAACGATTACGCAAATAACGATGAACGCATTGAGATGCATTTCACACCTCTTGTGTGGCTCTTCACATGCAGTTATCCCATTAAATTCAATACACTGTATATGTCTATTCAAGTTTTTCTTAATTATGATTAACAATGTTACAACACAACGTTCAATTTCGAGTAAAATATTTTTAATGCTGTGTGTGTGGCTGAAAAGTCTATTTTTCTTAGCGACGCTAATTACTCATAATCTGTCAAACACTGATGCCGCTTAGGTGGAACATTACACCGTTATACTACACCATGACGGTGCCGCTCCATGCACATAAAATGCGCAAGCAAGACGTGTTTGGTCACTTTGTTTTTACAACCGAACTCTACCCGCGATATCAGAAAATCGAAATGGCAACCTCGAATCCCATCACGAAAATCGGACGTCAGCATGAAAAGACATGGTCCCGTCTTCAGAAAAGATTGTCCGACTGTACCTTCGATTACTCCAGAATCATGCCGGATAATATAATCACTTTCCTGATCCATAAGGCCACAAGTGTCAACAGCTGCCTCGGCTATCTCCTACCGACGATCCTTGCCACTGTCTCCTACCTATTGAGCAGAGCAAAAGTTACCGTTTCAACAGTGAATCGCGATCAATCCACAAGCCTTTACACGATATTCGTCGGCTACCCTGGCACCGGGAAATCTCCTGCTATTGAACATGGCTGTATCAAGCCACTTCAAAGTGTCCTGCGAGACGACGTTAAAAACGCCTTCTTGACCGAACAACTTCCTCCAATGCCGCTTAGGTGGAACTAACCGTTATACTACACCATGACGGTGCCGCTCCATGCACATAAAATGCGCAAGACGTGTTTGGTCACTTTGTTTTTACAACCGAACTCTACCCGCGATATCAGAAAATCGAAATGGCAACCTCGAATCCCATCACGAAAATCGGACGTCAGCATGAAAAGACATGGTCCCGTCTTCAGAAAAGATTGTCCGACTGTACCTTCGATTACTCCAGAATCATGCCGGATAATATAATCACTTTCCTGATCCATAAGGCCACAAGTGTCAACAGCTGCCTCGGCTATCTCCTACCGACGATCCTTGCCACTGTCTCCTACCTATTGAGCAGAGCAAAAGTTACCGTTTCAACAGTGAATCGTGATCAATCCACAAGCCTTTACACGATATTCGTCGGCTACCCTGGCACCGGGAAATCTCCTGCTATTGAACATGGCTGTATCAAGCCACTTCAAAGTGTCCTGCAAGACGACGTTAAAAACGGCCTTCTTCCGAACAACTTCCTCCGGTTTGATCAAACATCTCTCCGTTCACGGGACTGGATTTATCGTTTCTCCTGAGGTTTCTGATGTTTAAATAAACTCTTGAAATCGGACGAGGAAACCTGTTCAGGAGACGCTATGGTGCTGTGCAAACTTTTCTCGGGCGAACAAATTTCGTTTCATTATGCGACTGAAAATACGAGAGAGATCGACGCAACACACACCCTTTTCCATCCTTGGTTCAACTCAAATGCCTAACGCTGCAAAACTTATTGCCAAGATGGACAAAGGTCAAGGATTACTGGATCGCTTTTTGATTTCGGTTCCAAGCGCACGGTGCCCAAAATCAAAGAAATTGAACAATCGCTTCAATACCTATCCACCGAGTGTATTGACGACTTTGACAACATTTATCGCTTGATCACCCAGTTTCATACGGATAATGTCGTTAAATACACGTTTGATGACGAGGCTGAAGACGCGATGGGATGCCTTCATAAGTGATGCCATTGCCGACGGCGAAACAAACACCTCCCAAGTCTAAGAAATTGGACCTATTACCGAGAATGGCCGCAACCCTCCATGTTTTACAACATGCTATGGAATGTGCCTTAGCCGCTCAAGAAGACATGTCAACAATCCCTACGACCATACCTAAAGAGACGTTCGAGAAAGCGAAATTGTACGTGGATCATGTTGAGATCAAAAACACATGCTGTGTGAGGTTAGTAACATATTGTGCCCACAAAATTTCATACGCCTTTCATAACATATCTTGCGATTATCGTACACTAATTATAATATATTTATGTATATAAATTGATGGACAGATATATAGCGACCGTTCCCTTCCAAAACTCCCTATATAGGTTATATGTTTAACCTTCAAATATCTATAACTGCACTGTTTAACAATAATCTCAAATGCAAAATTGCTGTTTTTTAAAACGTTTCAGTTCATCAAGTCAATAACAAATGACACCTGTGATGAAGAAAGACCACAGCCGAACGCGGGGAACATTAAGTCGGGAATATTGATATTTCCAGGCCCTGTTGTTACGTACAGGGCTTTCGTTCAAAGCGGCTCCCGTTTGACTAGGGGAATATCGAACGAAGAATTTGTTAATGCGACAGAGCAGCTAACAGAAGATTATGGCCACACCATTAATGTCAGAGTTGCTAAGTCATCAAAAACGACGAGTCTGTTTGTCAAGAAAGCACCAAATCAATTCGAAGAATGGCCCAGTGAAATTTTGTGCAAAAGAGCAGAATACGAAAACAGCTACCATCGACCATGTCACAAGGCTATATCGCCAAGCATACAAAGATTGCTTCGCCAACAAATTTTGACCGAGGAACAACTGAACATGTAGATTTGGAAAATGTGCGCATAGATGTGTGCTAAGACATTAACATAAATTTATTAGCTAGTTAGAAACATTAAAAATATTTTCATTACATATATTCGTCAGTTACTTGTTGTCACCTTGACCTGATATTATATTATTACATTAAACATTTTAAATTGGTTGATGAACAATTTGTTGAATTGCTATTATTTATAACAAAATTATCGGCTACTCATTATTCTAATCTATTTCAGTTATCAGTCATTTGAATAGAGCCACTTCATGCATGCTTGCGATCACTGCCGTCCAAGAAAACATATTTATTGAAGTTAATGTCAACTGAATTAAACTATTTTTTCGAATAGCTGTCACAATTTAAAAAATCCATCCTCACAAAACTAACACCTACATTTATCTTACGTCATACATTTCTCCTGTCTTATTAACTTATGCCTCGTTCTTTAAAATCTTAAACGACTGCGTATCCACGTATCCGCGTATCCACTAAAAAATAAAGCTACCTCTAGCTTGAGAATCTGATCTCTTTAAACAAACTGTATGCATCGTTCTTTCAAATGGTGGCCCATTGTTCTCATAAGAAAATACAGTCACTATATTATTTTTAAGTGAAAAGTTATTAAAAAAAATACTAAATTTGAAAAAAAACACAAAAATAGTTAACAGTTTTTTAAAAATTATTTAAATAAAAAAACAGAACGAAGAAAATAAAACAACAACAAAGAATTATTGATAAAATAAAATTAAAATAAAACATAAAAATTAAAATATATAGTTTGAATTAAACATTGAAAATAACAAGCAATTCGAAAGCCAAAATCCGAAATGAAGATGAAATTGAAACGAGATATCGTTGTAGAATGACTATGAAAACACTGGGCCACACATTGGCCCATCGTTCTCATAGTATTTCAAATTAAAACTGAAATAGTTTGTCACTGGCCCAGTATTCTCATAGCCTGCGACGTTTTTGGTCAGCTGCATGTTTCCCGCGCAACAAATATAAACAAGAAGCAGCAAGCCAATATGGCGGAACGCATAAGAAATCCAGATTGGGAAGAAGATGCTGAGTTAAAACAAGATTTGAACCGATACGTACTTCAGAATTTGTCTAGACGGGAGATATTAGATTTTGTTTCCAGGGATTATGCTCAGTATGCATGGAGTTTAGGTACTCTGAGCAGGAGATTAGCATTCTTTAATATTAAGTACGTTGAGTACAATACCGACTTGAATGATGTCGTGACGGCAGTACAGAAAGAACTCGAAGGGCCAGGTCAGTATCTTGGTTATCGTTCGATACATCGCAAGATACGGGAACAGCACAATCTGGCAGTACCTCGTAATTTGGTGTACGATTTAATGACCGAATTTGATCCAGAAGGCCTTGAACGAAGAGGGAATGTAGGGGTAAAAAAGCACAAAAGAGGAAATGCTGGTACTTTCACATCCATGGTAAGACTCTTTCTGTGCAAATGATGTTCATGTGGTTAAAATTTCTAGCACATAACATAAGGCCAGTTCCACTGATATTAAAAAAATTGTTTGCTTGCAGTAATTTACCAAAATAGTTTAATTATTTTTCCATATTAAATAAATTGTCTTGCTGTGGTTTTATTTATTATCTGGTGATGTTAACAAATTTGGTGTAATATTTTTCATTCACTGCAGGGACCAAACCACACTCATTCTGGAGATGGCCATGATAAATTACTGGGATACATGAATTACACATTCCCTTTGGCTGTATATGGCCTCCAAGATGCTTATAGTGGTTATATACTGTACCTAAAGTTATGGACGTCGAACTCAGATCCCAAAATTGTTGGAAGGTGGTATTTAGAGCACTTGTATAGTCAAAAGGTGAGAATTATGTGCATGAATAGTATCTAATTATTGTGCTCTTGCAATGACATTGGCCCTGTAGCATAACATCAAGTAATGTCTCAATCAATTCCACATGTCTCTACACGGGATTTGTAGACAGCTCATATGCCTAGCCATGGAAATGTATGCCTTACAAATGCCCAAAAGGGGTGGGCCCTCATAGAATTGATTTGTATTTTGTATAGTTTTGGGCAAATGATAGTCGAAAATAACCAAAGGTTGGCAAGCTTGAAATCTTGACAAGCTGTAAGTGGTGTGTGTTGAGAATGAAATGCCCCCCCCCCCCAAGCCCACAAATTTTTAAGGTTTTGTACTAACTAGAGTTTGAAGGATAAGTATTAGTACTTCAGGGAAATATTATTTAAGGCTTCATTTTTTACAAAGACTGAAACTGTGCACTTTGCAAACCCTAACTCTGTCTATTTCTAGTCATAAGTGATAATCTAAGACTTGACAAAGGAACAGAGACCGGGCATATGGCCACAATTCATTCCTACCTAAGGCAACAAGGAGATGAAGATATTAATGGAGCAGAGACTGTTCATTATGGTCCATCCACAAGTAATAAAGTATGTATACTATTTTGCATGTGGATTTAATTAAATGTGGTTAAGGGATAGTCCCTGAGGAAGTTATCTGCTCTATACAATATACAGATTGAGAGATGGTGGCGTGAACTCCATAACCGCTTTGAACGGTTCTTTAAGAGACAGCTAATGATGTTGCTGGAGAGAGGACATTATGATCCAAACAATGAAACTGATAGGTATGTTTTAAAGCAGGGCCATTTTGCTCAAACATGTTAAGTATAAAGTATGTTGTTGCTTCAATTGATTTGACCTCAATTGATCCCTCTTTTTTTACTACTTTGCACTTAGAAACTTGTTGGCATTTGTATATATACCTGTGGTTCAGAAGGAAATGGATATATTTAGGGAAACGGTATGGAATTCACATAGAGTGAGATACCAAAGACATACCCAGTTACCCAAAGGAATACCTAACCATTTATATTCATTTCCACAACAGTATGGAGCAGAGGACTGTGGTAAACACAATTTATTTGTGCCATACATGTATCTTTTACTCATATAAACCATTTTGCAACACTACTGACAGTGATTGACTTAAGTGTCATTGCATAACAGATGTATTTAGGACAGATAGGTATGGTCCTGCAGTATAGTTACCAATATTACGTCAAAAGCAATCATATTCTATATTTAAATATTATATAGGGTGATTATTCATCGATGATTTTAATACACATTTAATATTTATTACTTTTTCTGCAATATGAACAGGTTTGCCAGTAACACATCAAGCACTTGATGAAGTGGCAGAAATTTCAGGAGTGATGGATGTGGGGGATGATTTTTTGTCGCATAGTGTAAGGAGAGAATGTGAAAGAGTCATACCCAACATTGAGAATGTGAAAGCTATTGATGCTGCTGATACATATCTATTCCTGAAGGCTAATTACCAACAGCCACCACCACAATAACAGTTGGTTTAAAAGTCACTAGGCTGAAAAAAACCACTTTAGAAAACATTCAAGTTTTTCTTAACATTAAAATAAATACATCAAAAATGAGTACTTAAATCTTAAAAACTCAAAGTAGAATTTAACAAATGATACAATACCCATACCTGTATGCCTAATCCAAAAAATGGCCTATCCAGTAAAGCCTAACAAAAATTCCTGTGGTCCCCTTATTTTTTCTGCAAACCCTACTGTTTCTTTGACATGCTTAAGCTGTTTGATTACTGACCCTATTTTTTTTGCTGGTTGTCTATTGCTGATTGCCCATTGCTGATTGCCCAGATATTGATTCTTGAAGTGTTTATGCATTGTGGCTACCTTAATCTATCACAGCTTACTGACCTTTAAGACAATTTACTGATTTTTTTTTCATAATGAGAAACTGAAACCACAGGATTTTTTTGTAAAAATTTGATGAGTGACACATGGCTTCACACGCAGCAATGCGTCATGTAACTTTGTATGAAGTAAACATGTTTATTTAATTATTTACTTGATTTTGGATTAGGTATGGTTAGGATACTCATGTATATAACCAAACCATAACTAGAAAGTTTTCAAACAGTTAATTTTTGAAATAGTTCAATAATAGTTCAATAAGTATTGCTATATGTTTACCTCAATTTAGTTTCATCATCTCGCAATAATTATTGCATTGATGCTCTGACATAAATGTCTCAATGCCAACAATGGAGCAATTGCCGCAACAAAAGTAAACTTCATGACGTTCTTGATCCATAATTTCTTCAGTTGCAATTTCTGGGTCATACAGTGTGGACTCAGATCCCTGAATATCAAGCAGCATGAGTTTGTGATCAGTAATTACATAGCTATAGTGAACCAGACATTGCGCTTTCGCATATAAATCCTTAAGAACCTGGGTGGCATCATCTGGAATAGAAACACACTTTCCGTTGTTGTTAATATACTTTACAAAGTCGCCTGAAACATATTCTTCGATCGTGGCGTGCTGGCCATCAAAATTTGTATAGTAGCACCGATTGTAGCGGAAACACTGCCCAAATTCAGAAGGTGCTTTCCTCTCAAATTTGCTGGCAATGTGTCTTGCCGCTGTGTGCATCTGGACTTGTTTTCTGCAGTGATCTTCCACAGATGACTTTACTGTATCAATTATTGTGGTTTTTGCCTTCTGGTTATAGGTCTTAATAACCCACTTCTCCCCATGCATGGTGGTAACATGGAAGGCATCTCGAAATGCACCAGAAGAAAATTTTTGACACTCTACTTCACATTCAACATTCATTGCATTCTTCCATGCACCTGATTCAATATCAAATTTTCAAAGTTTAGTACAGCCTTTTTTGAAAATCTTGGTTGCACTAGTTTTCCTGCATTTAGTAACGTCTCAATTGATACTGATGCAGGAAACTGGGTTTCGGGGATACTTGGCTTTGGGCATACAGGAGGGTCATCCACGCTCCATACCTGCCTCTTGTGATGACCAGGTAATGGTAAACTTTTTGAGCTACTGCTACTTTTTTCCCATGGCAATTCTGAATTCTCTTCTTGCTCTTGAAGAACCACAAACCTCACCAGGTAAACCTATTGAAAAGAGAGAATTTTGTTCACATAACATAAAAATGTTATTGTAGAAGAGAGTCAGTGAAGTTGGAGGAGGGTAAATTAAGTTATAAAAAAAGGGGAAATTGTAACTTGAATTATCCTAAATCTTTTAATAAAATTGGACTTTAAGTCTATAACAACGTGAACATTATTTTGGGGGTGAAGATTCTTGTCGAACACATTGTATTTGGTTAATTAGGAGGTAATGCAAAGCTTCATCCCTAACAATTTCTCCATCCAGACCACCACCAACAACAGTCTATAATGGCAATTAATAAGTATCTTTGGGTTGGATGTTCTTTACAAAATTCATACTGTAACTATTAAACTGCCTATATTATATATAACTAATATAAAGCCAATGATATGAGTGTGTGAGGTGACCTCCCCAAGGAACTGCTTTTGACTCCCAAGAATGGCATAAAGTGAGCCTACAATATGGTCAATTTCCAATCTGAAATTATTAACAAAGTTAATCTTGGCAATCCTAACACTAATGCTATTTGTAATTCTAACCAGAATCCTAATCATAAACCTTATTGAATATTGGCCCTAATAATACTTAATTTCAGATAAGTAATATGGGAAGTCACCTGTATTGTTAATCTAGTATTTGGGGCCTCCTTTTCTGAAATAGAACAAGGTGCATTGTGATTGTGGTATTGTTTGGTACAAAATACTTAATTCATCATGTTTTATTGGAGTTGTTTGCACTGAAGCTAGACCAGAATGCACCGTGTTCTATTTTAAAAAGGCCTGTGTGGCACCTGTCAAAAGTAATTTATATTTGCTGATCAAGAAATTGAAGAATAAAAGGAAAAAACATAGCTATACCGCAGCAGCATAAAAATGAAGCTTTAATAAATACCTTGTCTTTTCGGTGAGGGATCTGTGCTATATTCGAGCACGATGGTCCTTTATTTGAGACCAAAATATCACATGTGCTAACTGGCAGGTTAAATGGGCAGCACAAGCCTTCTTCAAGTTATGTAAACTTAAGTCTTCATGTGGAAATTCCACAAATTCTCTCGGCTGAACAGGCCTATAAGTTTGTTTGGAGTCTGCTTCTGCAGCAAGTCTCTGTACTATGACTTCACTCGGAGCTGATCCCTTCTTCTTTCGACTAGACATTGCATCACCAGATTTCCTTCTTTTGTCGCTCATCTCCCCTTGTAACGGTCCCAAGTCACTTGCCTTCGCTTCATTGTTCTTCATAGGTATTTGGAAGCTTACAGTTACTAAAAAGATCTTTCGAAATCTACAAGTTCGAAGTGCATTTGTGTGGCCACTTGCGAACAATAAAAACACAATATTTTGGCGGGAAAGGGAAACATTTCGCGGGAAACATGCAGCTGACCAAAAACGTCGCAGGCTATGAGAATACTGGGCCAGTGACAAACTATTTCAGTTTTAATTTGAAATACTATGAGAACGATGGGCCAATGTGTGGCCCAGTGTTTTCATAGTCATTCTACAACGATATCTCGTTTCAATTTCATCTTCATTTCGGATTTTGGCTTTCGAATTGCTTGTTATTTTCAATGTTTAATTCAAACTATATATTTTAATTTTTATGTTTTATTTTAATTTTATTTTATCAATAATTCTTTGTTGTTGTTTTATTTTCTTCGTTCTGTTTTTTTATTTAAATAATTTTTAAAAAACTGTTAACTATTTTTGTGTTTTTTTTCAAATTTAGTATTTTTTTTAATAACTTTTCACTTAAAAATAATATAGTGACTATTTTCTTATGAGAACAATGGGCCACCATACTACCTCTAGCTTCAGAATCTGATCTCTTTAAACAAACTGTATGCATCGTTCTTTCAAATCTTAAACGACTGCGTATCCACGTATCCGCGTATCCACTAAAAAATAAAGCCTCCTCTAGCTTGAGAATCTGATCTCTTTAAACAAACTGTGTGCATCGTTCTTTAAAATCTTAAACGACTGCGTATCCACGTATCTGCGTATCCACTAAAAAATAAAGCTACCTCTATCTCGAGAATCTGATCTCTTAAAACTAACTGTATGCCTCGTTCTTTAAATCTTAAACGACTGCGTATCCAGGTTCCGCGTATCCACTAAAAAATAAAGCTTCCTCTAGCTTGAGACTTTGATCTCTTTAAACTAACTGTATGCATCTTTCTTTAAAATCTTAAACGACTGCGTATCCACGTATCCGCGTATCCACTAAAAAATAAAGCCTCCTCTAGCTGGAGAATCTGATCTCTTTAAACAAACTGTATGCATCGTTTCTTTAAATCTTAAACGACTGCGTATCCACGTATCCGCGTATCCACTAAAAAAATAAAGCCTCCTCTAGCTTGAGACTCTGATCTCTTTAACAAACTGTTGCATCGTTCTTTAAAATCTTAAACGACTGCGTTCCACGTATCGCGTATCTACTAAAATAAAGCTACCTCTAGCTCGAGAATCTGATCTCTTAAAACTAACTGTATGCCTCGTTCTTTAAAATCTTAAACGACTGCGTATCCACGTATCCGCGTATCCACTAAAAAATAAAGCTTCCTCTAGCTTGAGACTTTGATCTCTTTAAACTAACTGTATGCATCTTTCTTTAAATCTTAAACGACTGCGTATCCACGTATCCGCGTATCCACTAAAAAATAAAAGCTACCTCTAGCTTGAGACTCTGATCTCTTTAAACAAACTGTATGCATCGTTCTTTAAAATCTTAAACGACTGCGTATCCACGTATCCGCGTATCCACTAAAAAATAAAGCCTCCTCTAGCTTGAGACTCTGATCTCTTTAAACTAACTGTATGCATCGTTCTTTAAAATCTTAAACGACTGCGTATCCGCGTATCCACTAAAAAATAAAGCTACCTCTAGCTTGAGACTCTGATCTCTTTAAACAAACTGTATGCATCGTTCTTTAAAATCTTAAACGACTGCGTATCCACGTATCCGCGTATCCACTAAAAAATAAAGCCTCCTCTAGCTTGAGACTCTGATCTCTTTAAACTAACTGTATGCATCGTTCTTTAAAATCTTAAACGACTGCGTATCCACGTATCCGCGTATCCACTAAAAAATGTGGAAAGGTTGTATGCAAAGAGATCTAAAGCCCTCTAAAAGTAGCCCAGCATTAGTTTAAGGAAAATACATTGTAATGTCTAACTGAAACTATTGATTTGCAATATATCTATTGACAAGCTTTGTTGTACACAATATACATTGTACACTATATACAAGTATAATAAGATATACCAACAGAATTGCTATATTTGGATAGTTGAACGATCTATCAGTAGGCGCTGTTTAACTTATTCAAAACGTATCAGATATTTAAGGTTACATATGTTTGTGTGAAAAGGTTGTATGCAAAGAGATCTAAAGCCCTCTAAAAGTA